GAGGGAGGAGTGAGAGGTGAGGGAGGGGTGAGGGAGGGGTGAGTGAGAGGTGAGGGAGGGGTGAGTGAGGGAGGAGTGAGAGGTGAGGGAGGGGTGAGTGAGGGAGGAGTGAGAGGTGAGGGAGGTGTGAGTGAGAGGTGAGTGAGGGGTGAGTGAGGGAGGAGTGAGAGGTGAGGGAGGGTGAGGGAGAGGATGGCACACTCTCTGAGGAGGGAATGTTATCTCTCATCACAGTGCTGTGGCAGGGGTAAAGTCTGATTGGAGAGATTCAAACAGGATGATGGAAACTTGTGCCTCCATTTGTGAGATGGCACGGTGCTGAAGGAGTTTGGAGAACATGGGGAGGGGAGACCGGGGGCTGGTGGCGGATTGCTAGGATGGTAGGGTAAGGAAAGGGGAGGACAATGGCAGTGGTGGAGCAGTCTCCTTGGGAAGGGAAGAATATCCATCTGAGATGGGGACAACAAGGTGCAGGGCTGGATGAACACAGCAGGCCAGGCAGCATCATAGGAGCAGAGAGGCTGACGTTTCGGGCCTAGACCCTTCACTGGCAATGGAAGCAGAATGGTCGACTGATCGGTAAAAATAGTATCCCATGGGCAAGCTCAGCTGGGAATGGGTGTGAGGGGTGCTGCTGGGTTCTCTCTTACAGCTATATTGTCATACTCTGTCTACAGGAGCCAGGAGAGATAGATGCAAATTCAGGGTGTGGTTGGGTGTACGGTAGGCCCCGTGAGTTTGGGGAAAAGGACAGATGCAGCAGGAACAGCTGATCTCAATCTCTTACAAACCTAGTGACTGCATTCCAGCTGACGGGGAGTATAATGGTAAAGGGGGTAGTGGAGAGTGGTTTGGCATGTTGATTAGTTATTCAAATGTACGGAACTTCAACATTGTTCAAAAAAAGGTTCACTTTAAATCTTTCACTCGTCAGGACAATTTGCAAGAATACTAATTCAGTTAGAAAACCAACATTTTATATTTCATGAGAGGATTGATTATCGAGTTGACATTGATAGGTTGCGATATTGGCATTTGAGAATGCACCAGTTAATGATATCTGACAGTTAACCGCTAAACTTTGTTTGCATTTTAAACCAGGCAAGTTGACTCTGATTGGTCAAGGCACTGCCCTCAGAAAGGAATCAGAGGTGGCTGCCACCGATTTTGTTGAGTTGAAACAGACTCAGTATATCTGCATGTTCTTGCTGTTGCCAAGACCAGGACACTGTATATAGATAGATGTAGCTTCTTGTATTTTGAAGAACGCCACTGAGAGTCCTAAATCAGTTATCAGCATTAATTCTTTACACGCTCAGGGTTATGTAGCTGTAGTGATTTGAACCTGGTTGACCTCATGGACTACAGGGTCCTTGAATGGGGTTGTTAACCTGGGCCAATCAGAAAAGCCCTGGGTGACCAAATATAACCAGGAGATTTAGAATCTCCTCAGTTCAGGCGACTGACTCTGAGCTGGTTGGCCACTGCCAGGGTACTGTGCGCAAATAAATAAAAGGTGACTGGGTGATGGGATACTGGTCTCTGTGCAGTTAGTTCAGTAGTTTAATGTTGTTCAATCCCAGAATCATATCTAATGTTTGACAGGAGCTTTGTGAATGGGGACTGATTTCTTACAGTCAACTGCTGGTTACAAACGGGCAAAGGGACATAGACCACACTGCTCTCTGGGACGTACAGTCTCCATACACAAAATTACACCACATTGAAATTCATACACAACATCATTCATCTGTGTGATAGGCAGAATCCCATTACAATCATGTTGCTACTGCATAGTGAACAATGTGAAACGGCTAGCTGCCCTGTTGCTCAAAGCTTTGAGGTACCTTACCTCTCCAGGGTAATCTGAGCACTGTTCAGGATTGCAAGTAATTAGGCAAGTGAGCAGAATACTCTGCTTTTATTGTGAGGGGGAATTGAGTGCAAGAGTATGGACGTTATGCTTCAGTTATACAGGGCATTGGTGGAACCACGGGGAATACCATGTACAGAGCTGGTCACCATACTTACAGAAGGATGTTAATGTATTGGAAAGCAGTTCAGAGAAGGTTTAACTAAACTAATCCCTGTAATGAGGGATTGCCTTATGAGGAAAGGCTAGACAGGCTGGGCCTGTATCCTGTGGAGGTCAGAAGAGTCAGGGGTGATTTAATTGAAACATAGAAGATTCTGAGGAGACTTGACCAAGTGGATGTGGAAAGAATGTCTTATAGGAGAATCCAGAACTAAATGGTTCTGGTACCCATGGTATTAGAATGGTACCCGTTTAAGAGAGAGATGAGGAAACTTTTTTTTTCTCTGAGAGTTGAGTGCCTTTGGAATTCTCTTCCTCAAAAGGCAGGGTTAAATATTTTTAAGACAGAAATAGATAGATTCTTGATTACTGAGGGGATGAAAGATTATCGGGAGTGTGCGGGAATGTAGAACTGAGATTAAAATCAAATCAGAAATTATTGAATGATGGAACAGGCTTGAAGGGCTGAGCAGCCTCCTCTTGTTCCCTGTTTGTATGTTCCTCAGGGATGGCCTTAGGCCCATTCATGAGTTTGTGTGATATACAGAAAGACGTGGTCTGATCGGGATAACCATTATCTCACAGGATGGCTTCATGTGCCCTATTTCAGCACCAAGCCAGACTCATTGTGCATCACACTGTAGGGATTGTAATGTACATATTGACTAGGAAAGGTAGACAGTGGTGGAGAACACCTCTTGGCTGATTTCTCAGTGAGGCTGTCACATTCTGGGAGATCATAATAGGTTTAAAGTTTTGGCAAAGACCTATAGCTCAGGTTGTGGGTGAGGTTGTTGACTTGCTCACTGAGCTGGCTTGTTCTCGTTTTAACGTTTCATCACCATGCTAGGTAACATCATCAGTGGAGCCTCCGATGAAGCGACGTTATTCTACTCTGCTTGGAATTTATACTGTCCAGTCCATTATGGTGAGTAGTGTCATTTCCGGTTTTGATCTCTATGGGTTTGTATATGGGGTCCAATTCTATATGTTTGTTTATTGAAGAATGGGTGGAGAACCATGCCTCCAGGAATTCCCGTGCGTGTCTATGTTTGGCTTGGGCTACTATGGTTACCTTGTCCCAGTTTAACTGATGGCCTTCATTGTCGGAGTGTACAGATATTAAGGAGAGTCACAATAGTTACAATAGGTGACAGCGGTGGAGAACAGAATCAAGATGACATCTTGGATCCCGCAGTTTAGTGACAGAGATTATTGGCAATACTCGCTTTAACAAAATGCTTTAAATATGTTTTGACTCAACAATAACAACATGCATTTATGAGGTGAATGTAGGGTGGTGATTCACGATGGAGTTATCAGGGTGAGTACTGAGCAGCAGTTCCCCTTGGTTGAGGGGTCAATGACAAGAGGGCTTAGTTTAAGGGTGAGGGGCAGGAGATTCAAAGGGGGTTTGGGAAAAAAACGTTTTCACACAGCAGGTGCTGGGAATCTGGAATGCACTGCCTGGGAAGGTAATGGGGGCTGGAGACTTTGCAACTTTTAAAATATATTTGGATGAGTACTTTAAATATCATAACATTCAAGGGAATGGGACAAATGCAAGAAATTGGGATTAGCACGCCTGTAGTGGTAGTTATGTTAGTGCAGACTTGATGGGCTGAAGGGTCTTTTCTGCGCCTTGTGAATCTATGAATGAATTAAAACTTGACGCTGAGTTACCAAGGAATTATTAATCAACCAACTAAAAGCTTGGTTCAGGAGATCTGTTAAAAGGAGAGTCTTAAAGCTGCTAGAGATAGAGAGCTTTAGGGAGAGAATTCCAAAGCTCAGGATCCACAGTTCATCCATGTACAGTAATTAAAATCGGGGTGAAGCAACAAGCCAGAAGTTGTGAAGCACAGTTATTTTGGAGAACTGTGGGATTGAAGGAGTTGACAGGGATACAGAGTGTCAAGGCTAAGGATGGATTTGATAACGAGGATAAAAATTTTAGAAGTAAGATGTTGCTGGTTTGGGAGCAGTAGGTCAGTGAGTACAGGGTCAACAGGAGAATGGGACTTGGTTTCTCAGATAGAATGGCTTACCGACAGTGAGGGGGCCACTGCTGACACTGGGGTTTGGTTTCTCTCTCCTGACTTTACAACATCCTCGTCTTCCTCATGTTCCTCATCCTCCTCCATCAAGAAAGGCACCTTGCCGTCAGAGGAGACCTGGAACGAAAGAACATTTCCGTACAACCTCTCACATTCTCAGGACATACCAAAGCACGTCACAGTCAAGGAGGTAACCCTGACGATGTGTCGCTATGGTAAGGTGGGAACCATGGCGCACAGCAAGATCCCACAAACGGCACTGCGAGAATGACCAATTATCTACGGTGTAGGTTGAGGTTTGAATATTGTCCAGAAAACAGAAGAGAACTTCCCCTGCTCCTTCTTCAAAATAGTGCCCCAGGAGTTTTAATGCCCTCTGAGAGGGCATAAGCAGCCTTGGTCTATTCTGGTAGAGGGTTCCTCTGACAATGCCTCACTCAAGTGTCAGCCTAGATTCCATGCACAAGCCAATGAAGTGGGACTTGAAGCCTAGCCTGAGTCTGCAGTACATGTTAACAATATCCGGAGAAACATGGCAACAAAAGCTATGGGATAACAAGGTGTGGAGCTGGATGAACACAGCATGCCAGGCAGCATCAGAGGAGCAGGAAAGCTGATGTTTCGGGTCTGGATCCTTCTTCAGAAAGCTGTGAGAAAGCCTGTTCAGCCCATCTGGCCCAGTCACTCTCCTTCACATGCCTTCCTGTCTTCATGGGACTCTCCTTACACAAGGGAGTTTGGTGTAAGGGAAAACTGGGCGATTCCCATTTAACCAACAGGGCAAATTAACATTTGCAGATGCCTCTTGAATTCCCACTTTACTGTAGAGTCCATTTTTAAAACTCTAACGAAAAGAAACTCACAGTATTCTATCACAAAGGAAAGAGTGTAAGACTGTAAACTTTGAACTGAACTAGAACAAAAGCAATTTGTTCCCCAAACCCTAACCCGACTTCACCTCAAGGCTACACCTGGACTTGACCCTGTAACATAAATCAGCATTGAACTAATATTTGGGAGATGGAAACTGAGCTGCTGATTGGCTGATAATCGATGCTAGCCCAAGATCAACAGCTTAGGGTGTAGTGGTATTGCCTGGTGACACACTAAATGACTGTATCCTTGTTGGTTCCATTACTACACAGACATTCCAAAAACCCTCACTCACAGGTTGGAAGAAATCAATTATTTAAAAAAGCTGGTGTCAGCAAACGTTCTTGTGGTGTCCTTTCCAACAAACCCCGATCCAGTTCAATTCTCTCCATCTCTCTCACTCAGGTGTTTCTTACTAAGTTCTGAGGAAGGGTCCCCGGACCTGAAACGTTAACTCTGATTTTTCCTTCACAGATGCTGCCAGACCTGCTGAGCTTTTCCAGCAACTCCTGTTTTTGTTTCTTACGAAGGTAAGAATATTTTTTTTTTTGCGACCTCTTTTTCTTTCTCTGATTACATTCAATCTGTGCTGTCAGGTCAGCTGTTGTTTTGCCACTAGAAAACATCTCCCTATTTAATCAGGGTTTTGGACATCTCTCGTCAACATGGAATTGGGAGCAGTGCATGAGGCAGCGTAACGTTTTGGGGACACAGCAAACAGTGGAATTTGAGTTCAATAAATATCAGGGAGTAAGAGTCTAAAGGTGACCATGAATCCATTGTTGATTGTAGGTAAAACCCATCTGGTTCACTAATGTCCTTTAGGGAAGGAAACTGCCGTCCTTACCTGGTCTGACCTACATGTGACTCCAGACCCACAGCAATGTGGTTGACTCTTAACTGCCCTCTGGGCAATTAGGGATGGGCAATAAATGCTGCCTGGCCACCGACACCCTCATCCCGTGAATGAATAATAAAAAAACTTGGTCCTTTGGGTGTATGCCAGTTCTCTATAACGAATTGCACCACCTTTCCTGTTAACCCTGCTAATTCTCTCCCTTCTCTTTCAAAAGGCTCTGTTGAATCTGACTCCAACACTTTGCCAATATGTTGCAGAAAGTAGAACTCGCTATGTGAAAACATTTTCCCTCGTGTCTTTTTTGTCTCTTTTGTTAATCACCTTAAATCTGTGTCCTCTAGTTCTCAAGCTTTACAATAATAAACTGTCTCGCCCTGTTTACCTTGTCCATGTCCCCCATGATCTGGAGCAACTTGATCTCCCTTCTGGAAGAACAGCCCAGCCTTACCAGTATTCCCGAGAAACTGGAGTTTTGAACTGGATCTTCCAGCTGCACTTCAGAGGAACTCTTGCTTCTGGGAGTTATTGGCCACAGCTGAGACCATAAGATAAAGGAGCAGAATTAGGCCATTCAGCCCATTGAGTACACTCTGCCATTCGATCATGGCTGATATATTTCTCAAGGAGCCCCCCGAAGAAAAGGGTGCCAAGGAGAGTGGACCATGGGAAATCAGGGGTCTCTGCAGGGTCACAGGTTCTCCTGTGACTGGTTTGGGTCAGAGGGAGCTGGATCATCAGCGGATGGACAGCAATGGATTGGGCCTCCAATGGGCACAGTTTGCCCAAGTCCAGCCTGGCTTGGCAGGTTAGAATCAGCAGCCTGGCTCCCTGGCACTGTCCTCCCCTTATTATGGACTGGCAGTGGGTGCAGGCCCAGACATGATGATTCCCCGGGACATCAATCAGCTCAGCATGATCCTGATGACTGTCCAACATCTCCACTCGCACAGAGAAAATCCAGTAGAGGTGGACAGGGGTACAGTTGCTGGTCATACTGCATTTCTACACCTCCCGATATCATCCCCAACTGCAGAACGATGTGTACAATCCCAACATGAGCCTCTGTTTATGAAATGCAGAATTCCACACAATTTATGAACCTCTCTCTCAAGTTCCCCCAGCACCTTCAACAACTGGTACATGCACTTCCCCAGGTCCCCCTCTGACCTTACAGCCCCCTCTAGATTCGCTCTTGTTATTTTCCAGTATCTTTCACTGTTAAATCTTTGCTCATCTTGGTCTACTCTGACTTGAACAACCCAGGTTCTCCAGTCGAAGGTAAAAGAATGGCAGGACAGAAGCTGGGGAATTATTTTCGGCTGCGGGTTAATCAGACCTGATGACAGAAATCCTGGTGGAAGCAGATTCATTGCTGACGTTCAGAGGCACCGTGGGTAATTATCAGAAAGGATAAAAAGCTGCAGGGTTATGAGGAAAGAGCGGGAGAGAATGGGAATAATTGGATGTCAAAGAATAGACACGAGGGGGTGAAACAGTGGTCTTAGACCATAAAATATAGGAGCAGAATTAGGCTATTCGACCCATCGAGTCTGTTCCATCATTCAATCATAGCTGATATGTTTCTCAACCCCATACTCCTGCCTTCTCCCTGCAATCCTTGATCCGATCTCTGTTCTGATGACGAGTCATAGGACTCAAAATGTTAACGCTGCTTTCTTCCCCAGATGCTGTCTACACTGCTGGGTTTCACCAGCAATTTCTGTTTTTGTTTCAGATCTCTATTATCCGCAGTTCCTTGTTTTATACAATCTGTCTATCTCTGTCTTAAAGACACTCAATGACTTGCTCTCCACAGCCCTCTGTAGCAATGAGTCTCACAGCCCTCTGGCTGAAGAAACTCCCCCTCATCTCATTTCTAAAGGGTCACCCCTTCACTCTGGGACTAGTCCCTCCTACTGTTGGAGACATCTTCACCATGACCACTCTCTCCAGGCCTATCAGTATTCTGTGAGTTTCAATCTGATGTCCCCCCGCCTCATCCTTCTAAACTCCAGCAACTACAGTCTCCTGTACTGTAACTGAAGAAAGCTGTGGGATTTCAAACACAGTGTAAACTGGCAGCAGAAGGGCATTGCGAAAGTATTACCTAACTTCCCCTCCTATCAACGGTCTGCACACAGTCAGTCACACACACCCTCCTGTTGTTACTCTCCGGTGGGTGTGAATCCTTGTCCCTGTGGCAGCACAGACCCCACTGGAAGCACACTCACCCTTCACCTCAATGGCTTCTGGCTTCAAGTCCCACTCCAGGACTGGAACACACAAAGCCAAGCCTACACTGACCGAGTGCTGCGCTGTCAGAGTCTCTTCGATGAGACACCATCTCCCTGCTGGGATGAATGTAACAGACCCCATGGCATTGCTTTGTAGAAGAGGACTCGGGGAAGAGGGAGGTTCATTATGGCATCCAGGCCAATCAATCAACTGATTGGAAGAAAATGGACTAGTTAGTGACAGGCAGCATGGTTTTGTACGGGGGAAGGTCACGTCTCACCAGCTGATCAAATTTTTTGAAGAGGTGAAAAAGATAATTGATGAGGGAAGAGCTGTGGATGTTGTTTATATGGACTTTAATAAGGCATTTGATAAAGTCCCACATGGCAGATTGGTACAAAAACTAAAGTCACATGGGATTCAGGGTGGGCTCGCTAGATGAATACAAAACTGGCTTGGTCATAGAAGACAGAGGGTAGCGATAGAAGGGTATTTTTCAGAATGGAGACTGGTAACTAGTGGTTTCCACAGCGATCAGTCTTGGGTCTTCTGTTGTTTGTAGTATATATAAATGACCTGGAGGAAAGTGTGGGTGGTCTGATTTGCAAGTTTGCAGATGACATGAAGATTGGTGGAGTTGATGATAGTGTCGATGACTGTGAAAGGATATAACAGGATATAGATAGATTGGTGACTTGGGCACAGAAATGGCAGATGGAGTTTAATCCAGACAAATGCAAGGTGATGTATTTTGGAGGAATAAAATTAGGTGTGAATTATACTGTTAATTGCAGAAGCCTTAGAAGATTAACATACAGACAGATCTGAGTGTGCAGGTCCACAGTTCCCTAAAAGTGGCAACACAGGTAGCCAAGGTGATTAAGAAGGCATATGGTATGTTTGCCTTCATCGGCCGGGGCATGGAGTACAAGAGTTGGCAAACCATTTTGCAGCTATAAAACCCTTGTTCAGCTGCATTTGGAGTATTGTACACAGTTTTGGTCACCACATTACCAGAAGGACATGGAAGCTTTGGAGAGAGTGCAGAGAAGGTTCACCAGGATGTTGCCTGGTCTCAAGGGCATTGGCTATGAGGAAAGGTTAAAAAGACTAGGATTGTTTTCACTGAAAACACAGTGGCTGACAGGAGACCTGATAGAGGTCTACAAAATTATGAGAGGCATAGATAGGGTGGATAGTCAGAGGCTTGTTCCCAGGGTTGAAGTTTTAATTACAAGGGGACACAGGTTCAAGGTGAGAGGGACAAAGTTTAAGGGAGATATACGAGAGAGGTTTCTCACGCAGAGAGTGGTAGAAGCCTGGGATGTACTGCCAGAGGAGGTGGTGAATGCAGGCACATTGGTGACATTTAAGAGGCGTCTGGATGGTTACATGAATAGGGAGGGAATGGAGGGATATGGACCAACTAAGGGCAGAAAGTTTATTTTTCTAGTTTAGTCAGGGCATGCTGAACGGCACAGGCTTGGAGGGCCGAAGGGCCTGTTCCTGTGCTGTACTTCTCTTTTATTCTTTTGTTCTGATCATCTGGTCACAATCCCAACGGTGCTTTTGGGATCTTATTGTGCATAAACTGGCTGCTGCATTTCCTACATGACAACAACAAACTTACAAAGTATTTCATTGACTATGGAACAATCTCCCTCAGCACTGACCCTCTGACAGTGCGGCGCTCCCTCAGCACTGACCCTCCGTCAGTGCAGCACTCCCTCAGCACTGACCCTCTGACAGTGCGGCACTCCCTCAGTACTGACCCTCCGACAGTGCCCACTCCCTCAGCACTGACCCTCCGACAGTGCGGCGCTCCCTTAGTACTGACCCTCCGACAGTGCCCACTCCCTCAGCACTGACCCCCCGACAGTGCAGCACTCCCTCAGCACTGACCCTCCGTCAGTGCAGCACTCCCTCAGCACTGACCCTCCGACAGTGCCCATTCCCTCAGTACTGACCCTCCGACAGTGCGGCACTCCCTCAGCACTGACCCTCCGACAGTGCGGCTTTTTATGTCTAGAGTTCGGAGGAACTAAGTTTGTATCGTCACCGGTGACAGGGTTGAATTTGACCTCCGTTTCTTGGTATGATCAGTGAGATGACCATCGCACTCGTGTAGCCATTGCTCAGAGTGTAATCATCTGCCAGGTGAGCAATGGCCAGACTTCCCATTTCAACTGGAAAATGTTGAAAGCAAACCTGGTCTCAGCTCACGTGTGGACAAGGAAGTACCTTGGAATCCCTGGTGAGGTTGTTCGGTGCTGTGGGTGACTGCTGTTTCTCTCTGTTGCTGTCATCAGCCAGCCGCTCACCCTCTGGCTCCTCTTGCATAAGCCGAGTCAATGCTTCCTGTGTATCGTTCAACAGTAACTCCCTCTGCTCCATCAGACTGGCCAGGCTCTCTCCTTGTGTTCCAACGTAAAGCTCACCCATCTGGGAAAAGGATACAGGTTTGGTCAGCCTGAATTACTCCCACAACTCCTCCCACAGGGGCTGAACCTTGTTCCATAGGCATCCCTTAAAGGAGCCCATTCACCCATCAGGTACGTACTGGCCCTCATCTGGAAACTCTGAATAATTGCACATGTTTACTTCATTAAACACTTTTAATGTCGCAAAATGTCCCAAGGCAGCGCATGTAAATAAAAAAAGGATTGGCTACAACAAAAGGGGAGATTAATGGGAGGGGAATGAAATATTGACCAAATGCTTTGCTGGTTTTTTTCTTTATTCATTCACAGGATGAGGGCGTTGCTGGCTAGGCAGCATTTATTGCCCATCCCGCAGTTAAGAGTCAACCACATTGCTGTGGGTCTGGAGTCACATGTAGGCCAGACCAGGTAAGGATGGCAGTTTCCTTCCCTAAAGGACATTAGTGAACCAGATGGGTTTTTCCCAACAATAGACAATGGGTTCATGGTCATCATTAGATTCCTAATTCCAGATATTTATTGATTTCAAATTCCACCATCTGCTGTGGCAGGATTCGAACCCTGGTCCCCAGAACTTTATCTGGGTCTCTGGATTAACAGTCCAGCAATAATACCACTAGGCCATCACCTTCCCTGAAGGGAGGAGGGTCCTAATCATTGAGGGAGACGCAGAAAGATTGAGGGATGCAAGTCCAGGATATGGGGTCTACACTGTTGCAGATTTAACGTCCTTTAGGGAAGGAAACTGCCATCCTTACCTGGTCTGGCCTACATGTGACTCCAGACCCACAGCAATGTGGTTGACTCGAACTGCCCTCTGGGCAATTAGGGATGGGCAATAAATGCTGCCTGGCCAGCGACGCCCCCATCCCATGAATGAATAAAGAATTTAGTTTTAGTTTTCTCAGTTGTTAGTTTTATAAGGCGAGGTGATCCTCAGGTTAAACTGATCACCAGTCCTCTCTGTCCAATGAGAGCACAACTTATTATTGAACTATGGTAACTTTCCTTTGCATAGCCACCATTGGTTTTGAATGATTGACAAACATAAAGACCACACCTTTTCATACATCTGTGCTTTTACACGTGGGCTGAAATGGGGAAATAACTGTTTTAAAAACAAGGATTGTCAAAGGATTTAGAAAAAAAACCTTTTGGGCAGTTTTAAAAAGGAAATAACTTGGCTTTCATGGGCGGTACTGTTCAGACAGCGACAACAAAGCCTGATTGGAGAGCAGCTGGAGTGAAGTGGTGCGTACAAATGGAGATTTGGTTGGCAGCAAATAGCTGATTGGTCTGTGGGCTGATGACAAGTTAACAAAGACAAAGGTTTTCTGCCTGCCAACAGCTATGTGATTGGCTCCCAGATACTGAACAGGGCAGGGCCGTGAATGTTTTGGCAGAAACTAGTGGACCTCTAGAGGAGAAGGAATTGCGATTCTATGCTGTAGTAAATAGCATCTCAAGTCTGAAGATGTACAGTTTATTCTCTCTTCCCAGTTACCGGAGGCTGTGATTTTAATTGGTAAGGAAAGACCTTTATAAATGGAAACTAATCACTCTGTGGCTCCTACAAACAGAGTGAGAAATCACATGGCACCAGGTTATAATCCAACAGGTTTATCTGAAATCACAAGCTTTCTGCTGGACTACAACCTGATGTCATGTGACTTCCGACCTTGTCCACCCCAGTCCAACACCGGCACCTCCACATCATCCTACAAACAAGTGAGAGTACCTGGAGAAAGGAGATCGAGAAGCAGTGTTCCAATCAATACATGGATCATCTCAGCACATCCTGTGGACAGGGAGCAATGAACCACCTTCCCAGCCTTTCTCTCCTTCACCTGGTAGATGGGTGAATGATACTGAACTAGATTGTCCTGTCCATATTATTATTCATATGAGGGTAGATGGTGAGTGTCTGATTCCAGCTCTCAGCGTTACAGATGTGTGAATGGGGATGAAATGCAGTAAGTGTCCTCTGCTACATGTACTCACCTGCTGTAACCTCTCCATCTCTGTGTCATATTCCTGTAACTTTTCCAACAGTGACTGGAAGAGATAATAACATGGTGCCAAATGAAAGGAGCTTCAAATGTCAAACATAATGACATATTCTCGAGTAAATTGGTACAGACAGCAACAACTGTTGTATTGCACTGTCTAACACAGTAAAACATCCCAAGACTCTCTTCAGAATTGTTATCAAAGAAAATGCAACACCAGCCACATAAGACATCTGGGTCATAGGGACAAGAATCTGGTCGAAGGTTTAAGCGGCATCTTAATGGGGGTGACAGTGGTAGAGAGCTGGGGAGGTTTAGAGAAGGAATTCCAGAGACTGTGCCAAGCAGTGCTGGCACATCCACCAAAGATGAAGTGATGGGAATTGGGGGAGGTCGGAATTGGAGGAGAGCAGGGATCTCAGAGAGTTATGAGGTAGGTAGAGATTGCAGAGATAGGGAGCAGGCAAGGATAAGTAGGGATATGGAAATAAAGATGAGGAGTTTGAAATTGAGCTCCTGTCAAGTCTGCAACCAATATTCCTCAAACAAGCCATTCAAAAGAATCGTGGCTGATCTGATCACGTTCCTGCTTACCCCCCGCAGCCCATGAAGAATCTTATCTATCCCAACCTTACAGGTTGAAAGGGGAGCACAGAAAAGCTGGTGTCAGGAAACGGTGCAAGGGAATCCAACAAAAGGTGCTGCTGAGAAGGATTCTGGGAGGAGTTGTCTCAGTCACTGCCCTGGAGCGAATAAAGGGAAGGCAAGCTGTAGCAGAGTGGCCATTTTGAGAAGGGCAGCTGGAGCTCTAAGTGTAGGTTGAAGTGAATACCAGGCTTTGGTGAGGAGGGTGATCAGCAATGAGGCAAGGCAGTCAGAGGAGCAGAAAACTATTGCAGCTACTGAAGACACAAGGGTGAAGGACAAGTAGGAGGAAGTTTAACTGTGAAGTCACAGGCAGCAGGTAAGTGAGTGACTGGTGAGCAGTTTCTCTTCTCTCTTATTTTCTTTTCGTTTTGCCACTGTTGTCAGGACAGGGGATCCCAGACCCATGTCACGCTCCTCCTGCTGTGCGATGTGGGAATTCAGGGACCGTTCCCTATGTCCCTGACTCTGTTACATGAAGGAAGTGTCCCCAACTCCTGTCTGACCACCGACAGCTCCAGAGCTGCGTCTGGATTCGCTCTGGACCATCCGCGAGGCTGAGGGAATCGTGGATAGCATGTTCAGTTAGTTGGTCACATTGCAGATAAAAATTACTGAGGAAGATAGGGAATGGGTGACCAACAGCCAGAGGAAGAGTAGGAAGGCAGTGGATGGGGTCCCCTGTGGTCATCTCCTTAAAAACAAGTATGCCCCCGTTTTGGATCCTGCTGGGGCAGATGGCTCACCAGGGGAAGGCAGCAGCAGTTGGGTACATGGCATGGTGACTGGCTCTGTTCCACAGGAGGGCAGGGAAAAGAGGCAGAGCTATAGTGACAGGGGACTCAATTGTAAGGGGAATAGATAGGTGTTTCTGTGGTTGTAAATGAGAGTGCAGGATGGTGTGTTGCCTCCCTGGTGCTAGGGTCCTGGATGTCTCAGAGCAGCTGCAGGATGTTCTGGAGTGGGAGGATGAACAGCCAGTGGTTGTGGTACAAAAAGGCACCAACAATATCGGTTAAAAAAAAGGGATGAGGTCCTCCAAGCTGAATTTAGGGAGTTATGAGTTGAAAAAGTAGGGCCTCAGAGATAGTAATTTCAGGATTGCTACCAGTGCCACATGCTAGTCAGAGTAGGAATGGCAGGATAGCTAAGATGAACACGTGGCTTGAAGGATGGTGCAAGAGGGAGGCATTCAAATTCCTGGGAGATTGGAACCGGTTCTGGGGGAGCTGGGACAAGTACAGACTGGACAGTCTGCACTTGGGCAGGACTGGAACCAAAGTCCTGGGGGGAGGCTTTGCTAAAGCTGTTGGGGAGGGTCTAAACTAATATGGCAGGGGGATGGGAACCAATGCAGGAAGACAGAGGGAAGCAAATTCGGGACAGAAACAAAGGACAGTGAGGGGCACAGTGAAAGTGGAAGGCAGAGAAACCAAAGACAAAAATCAAAAAGGGCCACATTACACCATGATTTTAAAAGGGCAATAAATATCAAAAAAATGAGCCTGAAGGTTCTGTGTCTCAGTGCAAGGGACATTTGTAATAAGCTAGATTAATTAACTGCGCAGACAGTTATTGATGGAAGTGATGTACTTGGGATCACAGACTCCTGGCTCCAGGATGACCAAGGATGGGAACTCGTCATCCAAGGTTATTCACTTTTCAGGAAACACAGACGAAAGGACAAAAACAAAGTTGCTGGAAAAGTTCAGCAGGTCTGGCAGGATCTGTGAAGGAAAAACGTTTCGGGTCCGGTAACTCTTCTTGTTCCTGATTTACAGCATTCGCAGTTCTTTCGGTTTTTATTCAGAAAGGGAAGGGAGGTGGGGTAGCGATGCTGGTTACGGAGGAGACTAACACAACAGTAAGGGAGGATGTGGGGCCTGTACGGGTGGAGCTACAAAAACACCAAGGGGAAAAAGACATTAGTGTGGCAGTTGCGTACAGACCATCAAACAGTATTGGTAAGATTGGGGGATTGTGTCAAACAGGAAATTGGAGTTGCATGAAGCAAGGGTACAGCAGTTATCATGGGTGACTTCAATGTACATATTGATTGGATTAACCGAACTGGTAGCAATGCGATGGAGGAGGATTTCCCAACCAGAGCTTGAATATGCCTCAGATAACAAGGTGTAGAGGTGGATGAACACAGCAGACCAAGCAGCATCAGAGGAACAGGAAGGCTGACGTTTCGGGTCAAGACCCTTCTTCAATATTCCTCGTCAGCCAGGGATCCCTAAACTTGCCAGCTTTTCCCTTCACCCTAACAGGGATACACTGTCCCTGGGCTCTTGATATCACACTTTTAAATGCATCCCATTTGCCAGTCTTTCCTTTTCCTTCAAACAGACTCACCCCATCGACCTCTGCTAGATCCTGCCTAATGGCCCCAAAATTGGCCCTGCTCCAGTTTAGCACCTTAACCTGTGGACCTGTCCTATCCTTCTCCATAACTATGTTAAAACTAAGGCAGTTATAGTCACTGGACCCAAAGTGCTCTCCGAATGACACTTCAGTCATTTGCCCGACCTCATTTCCTAAGAGGAGGTCCAGTGTTACACCCTCCCGAGTAGGGCCCTCTACATATTGATTTCAGAAACTTTCTTAGACACATTTGACAAATTCCACTCCATCCGGGCCTGTTACACTCTGAATTTTCCTTCACAGATGCTGCCACACCTGCTGAGCTTTTCCAGCAACTTCTGTTTTTGTTCCTGATTTACAGCATCCGCAGTTCTTTCGGTTTTTATTTAGGAATTAACTCACAGCCACATCTCTTCTAGGTATGCACACCTTGAAGAAATTCTCCAACCAACTACTACTACTCTATTATTCCTACAGGTATCTGCAATCTCTCTACACATCTGCTTCTCCAGTACCCGCTGGCTATTTGGAGTCATTGGATGAAAGAAGCCTTGGGAACAGCAGTTGCCATACCAAGCTGTGATACATCCAGATAGAATGCTCTCTATGGTAAATTCTTGATTCTCCCCCAAGGGGAAGCATTCTCTTCATAGCCACCCAGTCAGGTCCTCGCAGAACCTTGTATGTCACATCTGGTCACATGTTCCTTATAAGACAACCTGCCCATTCCTGGTATGAGTCTGGTAAACCTTCTCTGAACTGCTTCCAACCTTTTACACCTTTTCCTAAATAAGGTAAGCAAAACTGTACACAGATGTGGTCTCACCACTGCTCTGTATAACTTAAGTATAACCTCCCTACCACCTACATTCAATTCCCCTCGCAGTGACTGCAGGAGTTCCTCAGGGGAGTGTCCTAGGCCCAACCATCTTCAGCTGCTTCATCAATGACCTTCCCTCCATCATAAGGTCAGAAATGGGGATGTTCACCGATGATTGTACAATGTTCAGCATCATTCGTGACTCCTCAGATACTGAAGCAGTCTGTGTTCAAATGCAAAAAGATCTGGACAATATCCAGGCTTGGGCTGACAAGTGACAAGTGACATTCGCACCACACAAGTGCCAGGCTATGACCATCACCAATAAGAGACAATCTAACCATCGCCCCTTGACATTCAATGGTGTTACCATCACTGAATCCTCCTCTATCAACATCCTGGGGGTTATCATTGACCAGAAACTCAACTGGACTCACCACATTAACACAGTGGCTACAAGAACAGGCCAGAAACTGGGAATACTGTGGCGAGTAACTCACGTCCTGACTCCCCAAAGCCTGTCCACCATCTACAAGGCACAAGTCAGGAGTGTGATGGAATACTCCCCACTTGCCTGGATGGGTGCAGCCCCAACAACACTCAAGAAGCTTGACACCATCCAGGACAAAGCAGCCGCTTGATTGGCACCACATCCACAAGCATCCCACTCCCTCCACCACTGACGCTCAGTAGCAGCAGTGTGTACCATCTACAAGATGCACTACAGAAATTCACCAAAGATCCTCAGACAGCACCTTCCAAACCTACGGCCACTTCCACCTAGAAGGACAAGGGCAGCAGATACATGGAACACCAGCCCCTGCAAGTTCCCCTCCAAGCCACTCACCATCCTGACATGGAAATATATCCTTGTTCCTTCACTGTCGCTGGGTCAAAATCCTGGAATTCCCTCCCTAAGAGCATTGGGGGTCAACCTACAGCAGGAGGACTACAGCGGTTCAAGAAGGCAGCTCACCACCACCTTCTCAAAGGGCAACTAGGGATGGGCAAGAAATGCTGGGCCCAGCCAGCGACGCCCACATCCCACAAGCGAATAGAATAGAATGATAACATTCGCCTCCCGAATAACTTTCCATAGCACTGGGGCACCCAGGTACCTCTGCAGCTTCAGTGATTGGTGAACAGGACTTTTCCAAGTTTCTATTCTGGCATTGGTGTTTTGGATGAGTTCCAGTACGTAAGCTACAATGTGGAAGTGCATGGTACTGAGTGTACTGTGATAGTGAATTTCCGATGTAACAAAGACATTGCTAAGTGTTTGAGTAGCAGATGAGCTGAGGTCGAGGCAGCAATAGGTGGTGCTACAGAGTGGAAATCCTCAGCAGATATGTGTGTCGACATTCGCCCCAGGGTCGAACGAGATGCAAAGGTTGTAAAATGTCTGGCTGAGCTGGGGTAAGGAAAGAGTCAGTAGCAAAGGCGTAGAGTTTGGACAGGGGCTGGAAACAACAGCTTGTCTTTCTGATCTTCAATTCTTGGGAATTTCTGCTCCTCCAGTACTGGATGACGTCAGACAAGTCAGAGACAGTGGAAGAGTTCATGGAGATGGTAGGGAGCTGAGTACGGACAGGGTACATGAGAAAACTGACCCTGGCATTCAGATGGTGCCACTAGAGGACAGCATGTAGATAAGTAACAGGAGGGGCTAAGGATCGATGCTTGGTATATACCAGAGGTAACTGTGTGTGTGAGGGGAGGTATTCACATCAAGGAGCTGGAATGGGTCAGTTTAGCTCAGTTGGCTGGACAGTTGGTTATAAAGCAGTGAGATGCCAATAGCGTGGATTCAATTCCCTTCACCAGTTGAGGTTACAAAAAACAACACAGAGTAGGCCCTCCAAGCTCCCATTGACATGTTTTGCCCTTCCATACTAAAACCGTCTTCACTTACAGGATCCATATCCCTCTATTCCCTTCCTATTCATGTATTCGTCCAGGTCCTTCCTGAATCCTGCTATTGTGTCTGCTTCCACCAGCTCCTCTGGCAGCACGTTCCAGGCACTCACCACCCTTTGTGTGAAAAACCTGCCTCGCACATCTCTTTTAAACTTACCCCACCTCCTCACACCTTGAACCTGTGTCCCCCA